TGTACCCAATGCTTATCATGAAACAAACAAAAAAGTTGTGATTCATTTCTTGATAAAATCAATACCGCAATGGTATTCATGGAAAATGTTAGTTGCCTCTTAAGAATGAGAAATAAAAAAATATTTTTACTACAGTTTCAAAGTTTTAAATATGACCTCAAAAAGCCATTTATGTTGGCAGTATCAGAATCTATTGAATTTATTTTTAAAATTTTTTTCGATGAATATACATTGACTGTCTTCATATCTATAGTGTGCTTGAAATTCAAGAGAAATTAACAAATCATTTCGAGAAATTATAATTTTTATTTATTCAAACAATGCGAGACACCTTTTTATCTGTCGGAAACAAATATTTTCCTCTTCTTTTTACTTATCTCTCTCGATTTGACATTCAACAACAAATTTCAATTCCAAAGCTCTCCTTGTACTCCAATACTTTTTAGTCTTCTTTTGAGATGAAGTATTCCTTTTATAAATAGATCTTGTTAACAGATCCTTCATGAGTTCATATGGAACATCTATGTTAAGTCGACCTTTATGTTCTAAATAGTGGCATACTTCTTCACCAATAAATCTTTTTCATGTAATACTTTTATGGATATAGTCAGATTTGTAGATACGAAGATCGATTAACTAACATGTATAGTCAGTTAATAAATTTAATAACACGACATGAATATTTTTATGCAATCATAGAAATAAAATTTAAGATAATGTAGGGTTTTTTAATCAATGTTTGACATTTAAACTATAATGCGCAGTTGACATAAACTAATAGCTATTAGATATTGATCTTGAAAAGAGTTACAATGTCTTAATTCGTAACATGGATACTACATGAACACTCGTACTACGTGTAATACAAGTAGATAGACATCAGTGAATTTCTGTTTTCTAAACAATATTCTTTCAGTTCAGAGGAAATAAATATGTTGTGTGGAGTTACAAATTAACAAGTCTACGATAAATGTGTCTTTAGCAGATTGGAACAAAAATATTATGACAAGATAAGAAGATCACACATGCAGATGAAGAAATGCAGCACAGAATTACCCTCATTATCTTTATACAATGAATATTCTACCAGATTGAAGAAAAGAAAATAACATTAAATCAAATTTTCATAGTCTAATAAGAAAATCAAAAGTCTGTTAAAATTTTCTTTTTTCTGAATATTCAATTTATCTATAGATTTGTCGATTCTTACAGACCATAATCTGCTACATGCGAGAAAAAGAAAGAAAGGGTGTGGGTGTGGGTGTAATTCAACAAGATGATAGTACACACCTACACACCTGCCCGCACACATATTCATCATAATACAGTAGGCTTTCTTGCAGTAGCTGTTCGATGAAACGTCTTTCAACTACTTCATTTTAAAAAAATTTCTATCATCTTTTACGAAAAATATAGAAAAAATTATTCAGAAAACTCAAAGATTATTTTTTCTTAATACTTTTATAAAAATGTATCATCAAATGACACACTTGAATATTATCATTAAAATGCTTTTTTCTTGATTCTACGTTCCCATCAAAGTTAACTTTAATATACTTTCATAACAAAATATTAGTTAATTTTTTTTTATTGTTTTAATAATGAAATGCCAGTTCATTTATTTCGAATATCAGAGAACTATAAACTTCTTTGCTAGAAAATTACAATTATCTGCTATCATCTTATATGTATTTTCTTATTAGTTGAGCTTATTCATTCAAGTACAAATTGCTCGCACAATTTCCAAAGATCTTTCATTTAATTTTTTATATCAAATTTGGCTGATCTGAAGTCAATGCTTACATGTAGGTAATCATCTGAATATTTTATTTCAGTAAATTGTTTTTTAGATTAAGGTTAAAAGAGTCGAGTAAGTGCAACTTTTCAATCTCATAAAATAACAGATGCATTTCTTGTTTTGAGTGAATATTTATACATATTTACTAGTTCAGTGATCTTTTTCTCTCTGAGATTTCTATTGTAATTAATGTGTATTACTTGTGTCTGCCCTAGCTTTCTGAATTGAATAGATTTCGTTCATTTTTATCGAATTCTATCTAGTCAATGAGAAATATACTAGAGAAGGAAAGCGACTATTATGAAGTTATGAGTAATGGAAATTTATTCTGTTCGATTTATACTTAATTCTTTCCCTCCTCTAAAATCATTCATAAAGCTGTCTAAGAAATCGTTAATTGTAGAAAATATGTTTACTTTCGTAATAAAATCCAACTTACAGAGTTTCTCGTTACTCATTAAGTCTATTTGACTGAAAAATGTTTTATCGAAAAAATAACTTTATGTGATTCAATTAGAAATTATTTCAGGAAGAAAAGAAAAAAATATGCAAAAAATAAAGATTACTGATTTGTAAACAAATAAAAGTCTAATCATCAACATCAACTTAATCAATTTGCCACATCATCACATTATATTATTCTGAGATGAGCTGGTTCGTTTTTAATTTTTAAACTTAACCTGAGCCGAACGAACAAAAGATTTATTTTTAAAAATTCTTTTCAAAATAGTTGCAACTGATAATTTTTAAATGCAGTACATTCGTCTCTTACTTATTGACTGTCATCTAAACTCGTGTTCCAATAATAAAAAATTCTCTATAACTAGAAGCTTCTTTTTACATATAATTGATTGTTTAATGTGTGAAACTTTATTAGAATGATAGCATTACATTCGAATTGCATCGTGAAGAAACATGCAATTTTAACTGGCAAATAAACAGTCATTGTAAAAGAAGAGACATACGAGAAAAAAATCAAAGATATAATGAGTTCGTGACGATGACATAATTTTCAAAATAAAATTCTCATTATATTTCTTTTAATAGATTTAAGAGTTGGGTGTGGGGTGTAAGTATACTGATGACAGAAGAAAAAATACATACTTACACCCACCCTTAAAAGATATATTAGAATAAATTGATTGATTTCCTTCGCTTCAAAAGCATGAACATATCAAAAAAATCTCAGAACAATTCGTAGTTTCAATCTAGTGTTACATATCGCTATATATGTGTGATTTACCTTTTGAAAACAAGATTCGACTACTGATGAGAGAAATCAAGTATAGAATGTGCAGCTTTTATGAAACTTTTCATAGTCTATGAGATGAGCGATGTGTGAACAAATCATACCGGACTAACATCCAATGAGATACGAAATTCTTATTTGAGAGATACTAAAGCACATGTCGTATCAATCCATCCACACACAAGCTGTCAATACGTAGCACATATCGAAAGAACGACATGACATTTCTTTTTCTTTGTTCTTTGAAAATACTCGATCGACATATCGTATTTCTTTTCCTCCTTTTTCTGAAAAGGCTCCTTTCTCTCCTCCATTTGGTTATCTATTCCTCCTCTTCGGTATTTTCGTTACAAAAACCACTAATGACAGCACTTTTACAGTACTCTTAGTGAGTTTTATAATGTAGTGGTCTTTGTAATGATCCTGGATCAAAATATTTCCGTAGATCTCTATCTGATTCTGTCAGACTCGACTGAATCGTGTTCAAAGTTCACGAAAGTTCTGAATTGGACTATATTCATTGTATCTCTTTAGAGTCCCGATTATCCCGAAGTTTTTGGTTGTTCGAATCTTGCTGAATGAAAACGATTTTTGATGCCACCAATGTCAGACACAATTCATTCCGATACGAGTGAAGAACTGGATTGCTTGCTTAGAGTTATTCTTCGTGCCTCCTCTTACTGACAACGAGTTTCTGCTGAGAACTTCATTTCTCCAGCAGAGCTGAATTAAAACTCCAGTTTAACGCTAAAATTTACATTTCTGACAACAGCTCAATGTCAGAATGTTCTTATTCATGTGAATAACTTCTTTGTTGTAGTGGAATACGCTTTTGTTTTAGGTTTTCTCTTAGCCATCTTTCGAAAAATGTATTCTGCGAAGAGATAAAAATACATTAATAGCAGAGTTTACTATGTTACAGTGTAGTATATCATGAGCTGATTAAGAGACATCAATAGTAAACAGAGAAAATATTTGTTGATTTTTCATTTCATCTTAACAACTGTTTTTTTTCTGTAAATAATTAGTATCAGGTATTAGGGTACAACTCTGACAGAGCGACCAATACCTATTAATGCATTCAAAAAATTGCTGTATTTCTGATATTTTTATGCCGAAAATATCAAGATTTTGAATAAAGTCTGTGGTAAGCTTACTATTACCTGCTATATAAGAATTGTTGAATCTCAGTGAATATCCCAATCAACTAATCTAGTACTTAATATTGATCAATTTTATGAATTAACTGGGTAAACAAGAGTTAAATAAAGATTTAGAAAAGTATCTTTTTTTGGTCATTCCTACACTAAATATATGTATTCATCTTTAACTCAAAAGCAAATATGTCTCATTTTGAAGAATTTTATCGATTTACAATTCGTTCGATCACTTTCTCTTAAGAAAAAATTGCTCTTTTTATTGACAAGAACATGTATGATTGCAATGAGATTTCTTCAAATAAGGATATCTTTCCTTTTGAAGAGAGTTGTGATTAGATCCCGTTCGGTTGGTTACGAACCCTTTTGGGTAGGATTCTAAAGCGATCTTTGATGCATATACAAAACTTTTCAAAGTTTTAATTCTTCCAAGTTTTCTCTGAAAGCTTGTTCTTTGTCTTGTTTTGGTTGTTTGAAGTGACAATTAATTGTTTGTCTTTATTAGAACTCGTTGAATTGGTCCTCTACCTACATGCAGTCAGTTCCACATAGAGCTTGGGTAGGATCGGAGACCAGTCATTTTCGATAAAACGGGCTCGGAGCAAAAACTTTTGGATCCAACAGATTGTAACTGTGAGTATGCAGCTCCGCTGCTACACACTTGCATGTTTGGAACACTGCAATACTCTTTTCCGGACTAAAAAATCCTCCTTTGTTCCTCCTTTTTTTTAGAGTGTTCCTTAAAAATGTTTATGTCATAAGTTCTCCTACTTCCTCCTTTTCTTCATATGACCGTTCACATACCAGTTAATGTTGTTTGAGCTTCAGCTTCACCAAAAGCATTAGTTGCTCTAGCGGTATAGACACCTTGATTGCCAAATTCAGCTTGATAAATTTTTAGTATCGCAGCTCCATCATCAGTCTCTATTACTTGCAAGCGATTATTGATTGGAAGTGGTTGACCATTGAAAAACCATGTGACTCGTATTCTTCTGATGCCATTGAACTTCCATAAAATCTGCGTATCTTGACTACATACACATGACCGATTGTTTTTTGATATTGGAGCTTCTACTTTGGGTTGAACTAAAAAATAAGTAATCGTTTTTATAGTGCATGGAAAATGACGAGATTACTCGGGTGTGGATGAATAGGAGATTCACACCCACACCATAGTCGAACAGTATATGACAGAATAAGATAGTTTATTACCGAGCAAAACATGAGCAAGAAGGTTAATGAAGTTATGTGTCTGACGAAGTTTGTTTGTGGATCTAGAGAAGATCAACACTTACACCCTATATCTGGCATTTTTCTATTCATTCAGTTTACTCAATTAAGTTAAAGGTTTTCATTTAAGAAAACATTTTGCTTTTTAAGTACGAATTTATTGATCAGCTTTCAGTTAAATATTTTCTATAGAGTTAAGTAAATTTCATATTGTTTAAAACATAACAATACGGAAAAAAAATAAATGCTGCCAAAACATTCATTAACTTTTCGTGACAAATCAGATTTTATTCAAAATTTATAAAAGGACATGCGAAGTGGAAAATTTATCAATAACAACAAACAATTTTCAACTTTTCTCCCTCAGTATATCCCGATTGATCAGTGGTTGTTGATTTCTAACATAGCCCCATCTTGATATTAAAAAGCAATTATTTTAATAGAAAACAAAACCAAATGGAATGGAATGAACATGAAGTTATATTGTTTCATAGTCTATTTATTAGGGAAAACAAATTGTCCTGTTTTGAGTCAACCGCTAAGGAGAATGAAATTACAGAAATTTCTAACCAGAGAAAGTATTTTTTTGCGAAAATATCCACTATTAATAAAGTTTGATCGAAGAGTATCCAGATCGAGGAATTTGAATTCTTATGAATGAGTTAACAAACAATGCATGAAACTACGAAATATTTGGAAACAATTCATCAACTCAGAGTCATTGATCCCCTAAATCTTTGACGAAGTCGTGAAGAAATTGCCATGTTTTTGGAAAATAGGGGTTCACTTTCGTATTAAAATTCAATGCACGAAATTTTCGCTTACTCAGGAAAAAATGAAAGATCGGTAATGGTAACTACACGTTTACTCTTGAATGGATACTTGTCAGGAATAATTCTAATAAATTACTATCTGGGTGAAATAGAAAACTAAGAAATGATCCATAAAAGCTGACATTGTTACTAAGTTTGACATGTTCTTTTCTACAGACTGAAGAATTATTATTTTTTGACAGCATTTGCCCTTTATAGCGCGAATCTAAGATTTAAAAATCTTAAAAGCATCGTTACAGGAGGTCTCATTGCAATGATATTGCTGTACAGGAGATATAGTTTGATTCATTACAACTATCCTATTTACGATCAACATACGTCAAAGGCCATATTCGTATGTGTTGAGATTTAAGGATAAAAATAAAGTTTTCTTTAAGCCTCTAAGGTATACCAGATCCAAAAAGCATCATGTCACTATCGTCAATTGGAATATGGCACTACAGAAATAAGCCACATATAAAAACTGAATTGTGAACACCTGTTGAAGAAACTTTTTCTATAGTAACGATATTTGCGTTTTACAGGGATAAATAATCAAGGTATTCAATCAAATCAAGTTTACCTGACTTTCCAGATGTATCGCTGGATACAGGAATATTTGCTAGTAATATGTTAAAATTTTTCACTATTATTCTCTCTTGAACTTCTTGTAAACCTTGCAACCAACCATATTTAGCAACATTTTTCAATGCTAACTCATACAAATTGTCTCTATCTGGAATTTTACTTTTTTCCAATAATTCAAATAATTTTGGACGGTGATATTCACATAGTGCTTGCAATAAGACCAGTCGTTTCTTCTTATTAGTAAAATCTTCTATAGATTTTAAACCATTACTGGTTATAGCACACCATAAATCATTAAATGCATTTTTTTCGTCGAAAAATTTATCATCAATACTTTCAAATACAAGTTGTAAAACAATTGATAAGATTGGGCAATCTTTTGAGTATTTATTTCCATATTCAGCTGTACGTTTCAGAACGGAATCATAATGGACGGTATCTTTATATTCCTTTAAGAATAAAATAAACCATTGATTTGAAGAATCATATTCTATTTTCCATAGTTGTTCAAAGTATTTTTTAAGAGATTTCATCAATGGACCATCGTTTTCATGCATTGCTGCTTTATAGACTTTTGGAGCAAACTCTTGTTTATATTTAGACAATGATTGTCGACCATTTTCTAATAAATCATTTATAATTTCATCTTTTGTTTTATGTTCTTCCAAGTCAAGAACGCGTATTATTTCATTCTTGACTAATTTTAATGGATCATCATCGGCGACATCGTCAAACTTTCCTGTTGACGAAAATTTGATGATTAATACATTAGAAGAGGACGTAAGTATTGGCTATGGCTGGGAGCAAAAAGAAGATACACACTCGTGATCATACCCAAAAAATTGAAAGATTCAAAATAGGGTGGCTGGGTGTGGGTGTGTGTGATCGAAGAATAAAAACCCACACCCACATCCTTATACTTATTAGCTATAACGTAAGAAGATCGTCAATTCTCTCTACATTACTATCATAATATAGAAATATAGAAAGGAAGAAATAAATGTCAGTGCTATCGCAAAACAATTTATAAAAACAATCACAGAGAGAAAGAAAATTTTCTATAAATAGAAACGATGATAGTTGATATTTGTTTCATGAATCCGATTCTAACCGTCAACTATTTTAGTCATCTAAAATGGCTGTTTGATGAGCAAAAACAAGGATTTCTCAATGGGATCGATTATGAATTTTCATTATTTCGTTCTTCTGAGTTTTTACAACTGCATTTTGCATAATACAACATTCATTTTTATATAAGATATCCGTTTGGGTGCGTTCTTTTTCGTCCCTGCTTTTTCGAACATCTGGACAAATGACCGAATGTTCGGAAGGAAAAATACGGGAGGTCCGAAACAAAAAGTGACGGATGTTCGGAATGGATTTTGGTGTCTGTTTTTTAACATAGAAAGGACTCGTTCATATAGTATATTGTAAGTCGTTGAATGTAGCGACCCTTCTTGTACATTCAGTTAGAGTCTTTTAAAGTAGTATAGAGTTCAGTAGCGAGCGATAGATCTTACAGATAGATAGTGTAAAGGAGTAGTAAAAATAAAGATCCTCTGTTGTCCAGAGGATAGCATCTCGAACATAATTGGTTGAGACGGTGATTCGCGGAACACAATGAATTGGTTTGCTGATTCACATAATGATCAAAAGCTACCATTGTTCTTAAAAAAGAAAATATGTGTGTATATGTTCATTACTCTTTGCATGTCTCCTTGCTGAAAGATGAAAGACTCTATAGTAATTGTTGTTATTAGAAAAATACCATTGCCGAACCATCTCTCTCTGTGCTTGTCTCAAAGTGTTAATTCTCATAAATCCTCAACCCGCAGCTCATCGGGTAGAGAAAAACGAAAATAAGATGAAAAAGATGATGACAATATGAAGCAAATCCCAAAGAAGAAAAAAACAAAACGTGCAGAAAAAAATTAGACATTAAAGTTTTTTTTTTCTCTACTAAAAGATAATTACTTTCTCACTCTATTTATTATATGCAAGGAAAGTGATATAGTACAATTGTTGTAGTTAAGAAAACTTGTATAGTTATTTGTTGTCTTATGATTTTTTTTGTAAAAGGTTATGTTAGAAAATAAAAGAAAATAAACTATATTTTAACGAACACCAGTTCTTGTCTGTTACGAACATCCGCCATCCGCTATTACATATATCCGTAGTTTTCATTCCGAACATCCAATCTTTTCTATTACGAATATCCATACATTTTTGAATGCAAAATACGCTAAAAAAACCTTGGTTTACGCGGTTCCGAACATTCGGTGTTTTTTATTCCGATCTTCCGGATTTTTCATTCCGAACATCCGGGCTTTTTCAAACAACTGGGGTTCGGAACGGACTTCTCTGTCCGATATCCATAAAAAAAACGAGGACGAAAAGGGAGAGTCCCATCCGTTTCAAGATAAGATTTTCTTTCGATAAACTTACCAATAGAATAGCTACGTTCATCATCATTCAATATGCCAGTTAATGCCTTAGGATTTTTGAGTGCCAGTGATTTTTTATGCCATTGAACGCTTTTGTCATAGTCACCAGTATGTGATGCAATTTTGCCGAGATCTTCGTACAAATCACCAAGTAAAGGATCATTTGGTGGAAGTTCTTTTAATAAACGTGTAAAATATTGTTCAGCTAAATCAAATTTTCCCATCTCCGATAATACTTTTCCTAATGTTCGAAGATTTGTTTCACCATTTCCAAGTTGTTGTTTCATATACATGAGAACATTTTTTAAATCATGCTCTTTCTCACTACACAAAGTCATTCGAATGACCCATACTTGATTATCATTGCTGTAATCGATGTTGTTCAAACGAAAAATAGAGCCAAGCATAAAGAGTATTTCTGATTCGCCAGGATATTCACTGTATGCACTGATATCGGCAAATGGTTTTGTAATTGCCACCTTAGGATCAGCAACAATTTCAAATAATACTGGTTGTAAATTGTCTGTATTATCAGTAGCATTGAGAAATGAAAGAGCTTGCTCGTCATCAGTGCTAGTAGAAAAAAATGAATTGACTGAAATAAACTGACCACGGCATTGTTTTAAAGTTTTCAATTCATCTACTGATATCATTTGTCCTCGATAAACTCGTAGAGGATTTTTAGCTTGATGTTCTGTCAATTGACTTTGAATATCAGAGATAAATCCACGAAATAAAAAAATCATATGAATATTTTCAGTACGTAAAACTGCATTAAGAGTCTTGTAAAAGAATGAATCTCGTGTGTACCACCGTAAGACTTTGTCAGGTGAATAATCCTTTTGAAATTCACGAAGATTGCTCAACTCAAAATTATTACCTTCATGTGTATTTTTACAAAGTTTAATAAGTTCTTTGGTATCTGCTTGAGTGGATTTAAGTCGTAAAAGACAATCAATAAGAACTTGTGAAAAAACGAATTTACCATTTACACCACCTGTTGATTTACCTGCACCGGAACCTGTAGTGAAAATATTAATTGACAATGGTTGTTCTACAATTTTCTGGATTTTATGATCAGCTTTAATTCGAGCGACGAGTTCATCAAGTTCAACAATAACAGCTTTTACCTATCAACAAAAAAAAATTATAAAATGAAATCGAAATCATTCAGTCTAATTTTACTTTTGCAAATTTGCTAGTCCATTGTTTGTTTCTTTCCTTATCCATGCAATACACATAGATTGATATAATTTGTCGAACTTTGTGAATAGAAGGGAGTATTTTTTGTCCCAATCGACCACTAACAATCATTATTAGTCGATCTTTTTGTGATCGTTGTTCAATATATTTTTGACATTGTTCTACATTTTGAAACTTCTTCAGACGATTAATAATAGCACGTAATTTTTGTTCTGTATCTCGATTATCTTTGGCGTTGATATTATCATCGAGCCAGATAAGACAGAAAATTTCAAGATGCTGATCGTCGGTATTTGTATGAAAGTCATCACTTGGTAAAATAGCAGTGGCCATGTTAATCAAGAAGGCTGAATTGGATAGAACTGTTGGATGCCGTCGTTTTGATTCAGTTATCAAATGTATGAGTGCTTTTTATAATCTAAAACGAATGTTACACTGTCACTTTGATCATTTTATTTATTAGTATTTATGACGCCATAAAAGAGGATAGAAGAACAAGATATTCGCATTCATCGAAGAAAATGATGTCCTTCCACTTCTTAGCTTTTGTAGATACGATCATTGAACCTAGGTGTAAACCTTTAGCATGAATCGAAGTTATTTGTATTTTTTTCGTTTAGTTATCTAATAAGATTATAAACCAGACGATATTATCTCTCAGTAAGTTCAACACTGTCAGTTGCTAGTGTGTAGATTCTTGGTTTCAAGCAGTATGGTTTATAATCATGGTTTTCCTCGTTAGAAAATTCTTACAACAAACTTAATTGAATCTATCCAATCAAATCGTACATTCAGACGCTAGAAGAAATAATATGCTCAACTTTGTATAAGAATTTATCATCTTCTTCGAACTTTTTAAATATACAATAGTAACATATAAATTGTAGCCTTCATTCTCTAAATATTATTATTAAAGATCTTTTATTGAAATTTCTACGACGAGGGCAGAAGATGTTTTTTTCTTGAAACCTGCTCTAAAGTTGAAAAGATCTGACAAGAAAAAAGATTAAGGTTTATTATATCGAAATGGCAAAAATCATTCCCTTCACATATGACATATACTCTAAAGAAGAAAGAATCTTTCCTTATAGATATGAAGTTAGTTCTTTCGATCATGTTGATTTTAAATCTTAGATATTATGCTGCTCATATTTTCGTCCGATGCATAAAATAAACAGCAAACATTTCACATAATATTAGCTTTTCTAATAATGATAGTATACTAAGAGAAATGGCATTATTTCAAAGGAAAAACGAGCCAATGTATCACTTATATTTATGAAAGATTGTAAGGAAATCTTTTATTGTTTTAAAAATTGAGATATATTTCGATCAGAAAGGAAAAAGGTTTTTTAACGTAGACAACGATCAAGATATTCCTTCTTATTCTACTATAACTCGATTTTAGACTGTAGGTATTGCCGTTAATCTCAGATGACCCAAACGAAAAGAAAGAGTTGATTATTTGATGTGCACAGTATTGGACAAGTTCAATACTTTCCTATATTGCCAACAATCTCTTTTGAGAAAATTTGCACGAAGAGAAGAAAAAAAGCCGTTTTGATGGAGCTTAGTTCTGTGAATTCCAAAAAGATGTACCGCATTGGTTCGACATTATTTCATTATTAAGAGATCAACGATGTTTTGTTACTGCGAAATTTCATTTCACTCAAAGACCTATTTCTATCAGACGAAATTATAAATGATTGTATGGTTCTTCTGTATAGAAAGGAAGAGAACAGTTTAGACAAGCAAGTTTTTGAAAAACAAAAGCTTTTGTACGCTTAAAAATTTCGTTAAAATACCACTTTTAACTCATATAAACGCGCTAAGGATGGATGAATTTGCTAAAACACGTAATTTCTCCTCAAGTTAATGCTTGGACGAGTTTCTCTGGTAACTTCTATCAGTATTATCGCGTTCATGATTTCATACGTGTTGAAATGCAAGACTTTCTATTTAAAGACATGATGTTATGCGATGATTTTTTAGAGCTCGTGTTACTGTATTAAACTTTAAATTACTATCTCTTTTTTTGAGCTAGATTTATCATACCTTTACGGATTTGTTACTTAAAAGATTCTAGAAGACGGAATTTTGTCAATTCTGAGTACATTCACTTTCAAATAACTGATATGTTTAACTAATTATTTTACAACTAATTAATCTCTCACTTTTATCATTATTATTATTTTCGAAAATTAGAGAAACCTGACAAGTCGTACAAAGGATATCTCAAGTATCTAAGAATCAAATATGATAGTCTTATTTCCACAGTTAACCTATCTAATGTGATGTTGCACTACGATTTTGGAGGCCAATTTCGATTCTATTGAGAATAATGAGCATGTTTTGTATGCTTTTAAAAAATTTTCTTATGCATTTAAAATTGTCACCATCAATGGTCGGAAATAACAATACAATTTTAATTATTTAATGTGACAACAGAAAGATAAAATCGGTCGAGTGTATAATTTAAGAGAGAACATCTATACTGACAGAGATTTCACAGAACAGTAGGATTACATGTCAAAGAAATGTGTAACTATCAAATGCAGATACAGCATGATTGTTACTCTTAGTGGAGATAGTTGCTTTAAATTATTTCACATACAGCTATAACTTATTTAGAAGAAGATCTATTAGAAAACAATGAACTTCTCTTATAAAAAAAATCATCGTTTAAATCTCTACGAAATTGTGTATTTCTATAAAAGAAAGCATAATTTATAGATTTTCGATATGCATCATCAACGACGACTGAAAAATATACAACTTTCTAAGTTAGTCTTTACCAAAATTTTACTATCACACGTTTTAATTTTTTTCAAGGATGTTATTTTTGACTTTCATCTGTTATTACTTCTGATTGAAAAATTTTTAATTCATATTGACCAGTCTAACATTGTTCAAAGACTAAGGACCTTTATTAATGCAAGATAGAAAACCATGTCATGACATCATCATCGAGCTGAACAATGGTGTGTGATTTGTACTATTGGGCTTAAATATTCAGCCATTGTTAAGCAACTTGTTCTTATGTTTTTTGGTAGTTGAGCTGCTTTTGTGGTTTAACAAACGTGGACGAGATATAGTTCTAGGAAAAAAAATGAAAATTTTAGCGATTTCATGTGGAGTAAAGAATTAGGCTTCAATTCAATGCTGATTCTTGACATCGCTCTCTATTTTGTATTGATAAGGATCATTGGGTTTCGAATAATCAATTTATTAATTAGTTAGATTATTCAATATGAATTAAATTTTTCAATTCACGAATAATAATAGATGAAAGTCAAAAATAACATTACTTGAAAAAATTAAAAAGTTTAATAATAAAATTTCGTAAAATGACTCACTTAGAAATGAGTACATTTTTCAGTCATCGTTTGTGTTGTGTGGCGAAAAACTATAAAGCATACTTTCATTAATACATAAAATATGGCATGAGGCTCGTTGGGCTCTTTCTGACTAGTTGCTGGGTACCTTCAGTGGTTTTCCACTGTTTTGGACTATAGAACAGAACTGCAAAACTCTTTCCATCGGTTCTCGAAAGAACTTTGTTACAAAATGTTCGCTCCGTTCACATCTACAATTTGCAATGCTCGCTATATATTTTTCGATCACATGCAGTCGTTACGTCATTCTCTTGAGCTTTTCCAACAAGTCTTGAAAAGCATTTGGTGACTTCAGTCTTTTTGGGCTGCATCTCATGAGATAATGGGTGCTTTGACTGATTCTACATATTTCTAAGATATGACGCAATACTTTGAAGCTCTTGAGATAATTGTTCGAAACAAATCTCTTACACAATGCTTCTTTGGCTTACTGTGACAACTCGCTATGTTTGTCAACTGCTTTTCCATCATACTCACTAATTATCTAGTACTCTGAAGACCTTCAGATAGATCTTGAGTACCACTTTTTGACATAATGCTTGTCAGACATCATCTTAGTAGCTGTTGTGTGTTCATTGTTTTTTTATTACAATGTTTGCGCAGTACTCAGAAACGACGCAAAAAGTCGTTCTCAAGTTTTAGGGGCACAAAGCTGTTTTGCTTAGTCCTGTTAATTGTCGGTTAGCTTTATAGTTTTTACAATCACATCTAGACACTACACAGTTCTCAGAAGCTTTCCGAATCATCCTTGTGATGTAAGTGCGCATCGCCTAGTGGACTAAAGCTTTTCCAATATTATACCGTGAACTATTCGGTGACTTAGGTCTTTGCTCGCCAGGTCTGAGGTACTCTCATATGACTTGACTATTTTTCTCACGCTATTGAGCATTGGTAAGTGTTCTGACGATCTTTCGGCGCTTACTCTGAGGAATCGTTTTGTTGTCTAACTGTTGTTCTTATTAGTCGCTGGTGTTACGCACAGGTCTATCGCGCTTTATTGTATGATCTTAAGCTTTTCCTTTTGCTCTTTTTGCTGTGCTTTGTGGTCTGATGTTCATTGCCCACAGTTTCAACAATTTCTTCGTTGTCCAACGGCTATTGCTCTCGCAGTTACTAAGCGGTGCTTCAACAAAACTTCTTTCGTCTAGTCTATTAACTTGCTTTGTGATATGGAGGTCCTTACCAATCCTATCTGTAGCTCCGATTCTCTAGCTCGGATTTGGGACTCACTCAATCACATTTTCTCTGGTCTCAAGGTTTTTACCATTGAGGTAATAATATGCTGTGTGATCGGAAGCCTTACACTCATAAGGTCTTGAGTTCCTCTATGACATCATTGATTACACTTTAGTGTCGGGGTTTCTACCGAGGGTAGCATGATACATTGTGATCTGAAGTGTTTTTACAGTCACTCATTGGTATTTGAGTGTGTGCGATACGTCTTCCACCCTCTGGTCGTCTCAAGAGTTGCAGGATGCAATGAGCTTTTCTCCTGTGTTCTTATACATTTCTTTGTAATTTGAAGGCTCTTACCCCCTTCTTCAACGCTTTCACATTAATTTAGAAGTCAAAACAGAGCACATTCACTTTGACGCTACTATACGCTATTATTGTTAACCAGATGTCTCATGTTCTAATTATAATACATTCATCTGTGGCGGGAGATCCTGATCATCTTTTTAATACGTCGCAGTGTGCGTCACTACCCCTGCCTTTTTCTAAGCATTAATTTGTGGTAGGAATCTGTTTCTGCTGAAGCTGAGACATTGGTGTCGGATCTACTTCTTTTCGTCCTCAACCTAGTGCTATGATATGTTGCCTAAAAGCATTTCCTGAGGCTCTTGCGCATGGGCTTCTAACCCATGCTGTTTTCTTTTATCTTGACATCTTGCTGTGAAGCCCGAAGTTCTGCGTCCTCCCTCTTAGACATTCTTATGT